GCCACCTTAGGTGTATGTGGCTGGCGCCTTAGACGCTTGAGCCACAGGCGCCGAGCCTGTGCAGAATTTTTGAAATTGATGATACTCATTTTATAATCATTTGGTTTAGGTGACAAACATTGAGAAAGCATGAAAGGTTTTCCAAAGACTCTGAAATAAGACTTTTGACTCCTTATATGTGTATAAAATTAAATAGCATCTGGGGAGATGTTGGTTAATGGGTATAGTGTTTCAGTTTTGCACGATGAAGAGTTCTGGAAATTGGTTGCATAGTAGCGTGATTATATACTGCTGAACTGTGTACTTAAAAAATGCTAAGAGAGTAGATTTCGTTATGTGTATCTTATAATTTAAAAAAAATAGCACATGGTGAAAGCACTTTTAATTAAATATGCAGCATCAATCTTTTTATCATTATGCTTAAATGAAATCGAGCAGATCATAGCCAAGAAATAGCATTTTCTTTTCTCTCAGGTGCCTTTCCCAGAGTGTTGTGAAGGTAGGCCATCCATCTTAGATGTTTAGAGCCCCTCATCTGTAATTATTGCACTATACCTGTTTCATTGCATTCTGTTCCTGTCCAGGTTGGCTGTAACCCCAATGAAGATGTAGCTATCTTTGCTGTTGACTCGTTAAGGCAGCTCTCCATGAAGTTTCTTGAGAAGGGTGAATTGGCCAACTTCCGTTTCCAGAAAGATTTTCTGAGGCCCTTCGAGCATATTATGAAGAAAAACAGGTATGTGCTTTGCTCTGTAAGTCCTTTGGTCACATTCTCCTATGAGACCCCAAAAAGCCCTCTTGACAGTAATCGCACAAATAGTGATTTTTTTTCTTCTCTTGGTGGAAGCAAATAGAACAAACAGGCTGTGATTCACACTAGTTGTCCTAAGATCTATATGTTAGGCCAGGCGCAGTGGCTAACGCCTGTACTCCTAGCACTCTTGAGAGGCTGAGATGGATGAACTGCTTGAGCTCAGGCGTTTGAACCCTACCTGAGCAAGAGCAAGACCCTGTGTCTAAAAATAGCCAGGCTTTGTGGCGGGAGCCTGTAGTCCCAGCTACTCGGGAGGTTGAGGCAAGAGAATCGCTTAAGCCCAAGAACTGGAGGCTGCTGTGAGTTGTGACGCCATAGCACTCTACCAAGGGCAATAAAGCAGGACTCTGTCTCTAAAAAAAAAAAAAAAAGAATTATGTGACCCAGTATTTCCACACTGGTCCCTCTGAAGCATCCTGTTGATTCTTTTGCTTCAGCCTGTGCTTACTGAGGCCTGCCATCTGCTAGGCACTACTGTAGAGAATATTCCAATAAAGAAAACATTTAAAAGTCCCTGTTCTTGGGGCAGCACCTGTGGCTAAGTGAGTAGGGCACTGGTCATCACACTGAGGTTGGCGGGTTCAGATCTGCACCCGGCCAGCTAAAAGAACAATGACAACAACAAAAAGCCAGATATTACGGGTGGTGCCTATAGTCCCAGCTACTTGGGTGGCTGAGATAAGAGAATCACTTAAGCCCAAGAGTTTGAGGTTTCTGTGATCTGTGACACCTACTCAAGGTAGGTGTGGCATCTATGGCACTCAGGGCAACAGCTTGAGACTCTGTCTAAAAAAAAATCTCTGTTGTCATTGGGCTTTGAATTGATAATAGTTACAACTGAGTGTGATGGGTATACAGGAATTCACTACACTATGCTCTCTACTATTCTGGGTGTGAATGAAGGGGCAGCAGCAGTCTCCTGGATGTGTCTTTTTCTCCTGGTATCCCAGTTCTCTGCCTTACTGATTATTTTAAGCAGTAGTTCTCTCAACCTGTGGGTTGTGACCCACAGGAACTGTATTAAAGGTCCGTGGCATTAGGAAGGCTGAGAACCACTGATTTTAAGAGACCCAAAATTAAGCCCAGAGTCAGGCATCACTCCTGATTTTAACAAATGCACAAAAATATTCTCGAAGCTTTGGAAACACCAGTGAGAGAGTGCCTGAGGAGACTGAGGCCTCGTATTGGAAGTGCTTGATAGTCAGGAGAAAAATGCAGGATATAGAATTTGACAGAGTACAATAGAGATAGTGAAATGCATTTCTCCACATAAAATAGCCACAACATCATGTAAAGGAATTTCTTTTCATTATACGTTCTCTGCGTTTTTCAGAACTTCGGCTGTCATTACATATTACTTTTAACGATCGGGCAAAAGTATTTTAAGAAATATATATAGTTCATGCCAACAAGTTGCTGAATTCCCCATGAGGAAGCAGCCATGAGTTCAGATTCATTATGCATTGAAGTTGCCTGAGTATGTCATCATTCCTCCATTATCTGCAGATGGCTTGTTTATGTTGTGGACTTTAGCTAATTTTTAACTGTTTTGACTTTCTCCTTGCTTTTTCTAAATGACCTTTCCTATTATCAGTTATTATGGGTCTAGAAGACAAACATGGACATTATTCTAACACAGATGAAAGTGGAGAATCAAATCTGCCTCCCAAGACCACTGTACTGACTTTCAAAGCTAGTACTATAGAAACAATAGATTTGTACAGTTTAATTTCCTTCTGTTTAAGACATCACAGAGTTCTCTTGTAATCATATGTCTTACATTGTGAGACATATATACTAAGCTGTTGCAAGTATTCAGATGTTACCATGTTTAACCATGCAGCTGTTTTCAGTAAGTAGGTCATGTATCTTCAGCTTTTGTTTTATAATAATTAAAAATATTGCATCTTAAAACTATATATGTACTCCAGTCCACGTATATTTCTGCCACAAAATCTAAGAGGCTATGTACTAAGAATTCAGTAATCATTTTCTCTCAGCAGCAGAATTATAAATATATTAGTTGAAATATTTGGGGACAGAAAAACTGACCAACAGTGACTTAAACCACAAGACTATGTGTGGTTTACATAACAAGAAGTCAGGGACAGGCATCTCAACTTTGGTTCCATAGCTCAAATTGTTAGTGGAACCCAGGCTCTTTGAATCCTTTTATTCTGCTAGGTGCCAAGGGTCAGCTGTTCAACCTGGAGTTTATTGTTAATTGCAAGGTGGATCTAGCTCTGGGCATTGTGCTATCTTCAGAAAGGGAATGAGAGTAAAGGTGGCAGAGCCTAAATAAATATGGATTACTGTGTGCTTTAGCAATGTGTTTTTAAGTGCTGCTTCTAAGGGATGAGCTGTGTTTGTTTCTCTTCCAGCTCTCCAAAGTGCAGATGATATGACCATCCCATTTCTTCCTCAGGTCTCCAACCATCCGGGACATGGTGATCCGCTGCATTGCCCAGATGGTGAACTCCCAGGCAGCAAACATCCGTTCTGGCTGGAAGAACATTTTTGCTGTGTTCCATCAAGCAGCCTCTGATCACGATGGAAACATTGTGGAGCTGGCCTTCCAGACCACGGGCCACATTGTCAGTAAGTGGCTCTCTTCCTTCCTGACTAACAACGTTCCACCTGCAAGTCTAGAAGGGTGATCATCTACTTGCTGTTTTCCTCATTGTGGCTCTGCTGTGATGTAATAATGTGCCAGGCAGTATTTGAAAGATGTGGCATGGATTAGTTCTCATCTTAACTCTATTTTGACTTTTTTCCTTGCCTTCCCTAGATGGCTTTTCCTATTATTAGTCAGTTTGTATCCGGCAAACAAACATGAATGTTATTCTTAGTAAGATGAAATTTTAAAGTCACATTTGCCATCTCAAGGCCACTCCAGTGACTATTAAAGAAATATAGTCAATCCTCAAGTATTAGCAGATTCCATGTTTGAGAATCACCTACTCACTGAAATTCACCAGTATTCATGGTGCTTTTGTGGCCATTTGCTGGCAGGTACGTGCACAGAGCAACAGAATGCCAAGGTGCACGTTCCCAGCTGGGGTGGAATAAGTTGACACTCTGCCTTCTTGTTGCAGCTGTCATACCAAAAATGAGTGTGCTTTCTCTGGTCTACTGACATGTTTTTCACATTTTATGCTTTTTATTAGAGATTTCACTGTTTAAAATGCCCCCTAAACAAATTTCTGAGTGTTGACTAGTATTCCTAAATGCAGAGAGACTAGGATGTGAAAATACATGTGTTAGATTTTCCTTCAGGCATGAGCTATTGTGCTATTGGCTGTGAGTTCGATGTTAATGAATCAACTATGTATATCAAATAAGGTGTCTTTAAACAGAAACAAACATACAACAAGGTTATGTTTTAATTAGTTGATGAAAATATTGTGACCAGAAACTCACATGAACCTAACTCCAGATTTCCTCTAGGAACAATGGTTCGGTATTCACTAATTCAGTGGTTCACAACAACTTTATAGAACATACCTATAGGCCAGGCGCAGCCAAGGCGGGTGGATTACTGAGCTCATGAGTTTGAAACCACCCTGAGCCACAGCAAGAACTGTCTCTGAAAATAGCTGGGTGTTGTAGGCCTAGCTACTCAGGAGACTGAGGCAAGAGAATTACTTAAGCCCAAGAGTTTGAGGTTGCTGTGAGCTATGAAGCCATGGCACTCTACCAAGGACGACAAAATGAGACTCTCTCTCAATAAATAAGATAACTATACTAAATAATAAGCCAGCTGTGCTATTGTTTCCTCTGTTGTATCAAAGAAGAAATTGAGGCACAAAAAAGCAAAATAGAAAAACTCACCTGAGGGTGCACAGCTTGGAAGTGGTCAAGCCAAGACTCACACCCAGACAGTCTACCCCAGAGTTAATACGGCATCCCTCTATCCTGGACTGCCTGCGATCATGTAACAAGGTGTTACTTGTTCTCTGTGGGAATTGTAAGGCCTTGGGCCATCTTTGCACATAGTGGCACTCAGTAAATGTTTGTTGAATGAACGGCTATTTGGGCCTTTACATCATTGCTTGAACTCAGAAAACCAGTTTAGCCCAAGCTATGCTCTACACAGTTGTTCATGAATAATTTAATAGGAAAAACTGTCTTCCAGAGATCCTGAGATGCTTTTCTTAGATTTCATAAGGATAATTATCTTATGTATATTTTCATTCCCATCCCTAAATCTTGGTCTTAGACAAAATGTGCCTTGTGTTTCCCCAGCAACTATTTTCCAGCACCATTTCCCTGCAGCCATCGATTCCTTTCAGGATGCTGTGAAGTGTTTGTCAGAGTTTGCCTGCAACGCTGCTTTCCCCGACACGAGCATGGAAGCCATCCGGCTTATCCGTTTCTGTGGGAAATATGTCTCTGAGAGGCCTCGGGTATGTTTTTCCCCTCCTTGCTCATACAGGCAATGAGGAAGGAAAGGATCATGGGGCAAACACTTTCCCCTAACCACGAGCATCCCAGCTACTCTACTAAAAATAGAAAAATTAGCCAGGTGGTGTGGTGAGCACCTGTAGCCCCAGCTACCTGGAAGGCTGAGGCAGGAGGATTGCTTAAATCCAGGAAATTGAGGTTGCTATAATCTAGGCTAATGCCATGGGTTTCTAAACCTGGACAGCAGGGTGAGACTTTGTATCAAAAAAAATCCCTTTTAGGAAGTGACACGCCATTGTAGTGTGCCTAAGAAATCACATCTAAAAATCACTTTTTATTTTCTCCCAAAAATTTTAGGGATTTTGTCAATATATATATTGTTAATTTGTATAAAGCACTTTAACAGTTCCTGTTAGTAAATAGGCCCATAGGAGGCACTCAGTAAATAGTAGCTGCTGGGGCTAGGCATGATGGCACACACCTGTAATCCTAGCACTTTGGGAGGCCCAGGCAGAAGGAATACTTGAGACCAGGAGAATAAGACCAGCCTGAGCAACATAGCAAGACACTATCTCTGTGAAAAAGAAGAAAACCTATCTGGGCATGGTGCTAGATACCTATAGTCCTGGGCAACAGAGCAAGACTCTGTCTCACAGGAGAGGCAGGAGTTGCTCCTGCTATTCTAAATGGTATATATTACAGTAACATTCCAGAAAGTCCTAAGATAATGAGTCATCCTGGATATTATACCAACACTATCTTGCTCAGGCTAGTCTCAAACTCCTGAGCTCAGGTAACCCCGCAATGTTGGCCTCCCAGAGTGCTAGGATTACAGGCGTGAGCCACCACTCCCAGCTTAGTGTTCTTAATGTGATACCTCCCACCGCCCTTGTGACCTGCCCCACTCAGCTTGTTCTAAAACCTACAAAGGTCTCTAGGTTTATTTTGGGAAATTGGTCATGTGTCTTTTGCAGTAGGTCATGTCTCTGTGTCTTTTGTCCTGACTGTACCCTTGCTGAAAGGAGATTATTAGGAGGGGACTATGGTGGGGCCTTAATATGATCTAGTTCCCTTCTAGTTCTTTCCTTTTGCATGCTTAATCTACATCTGATGTGTGATTTCCATTGTAGGTGCTACAAGAATACACAAGTGATGACATGAATGTAGCTCCTGGAGACAGAGTATGGGTCCGGGGCTGGTTCCCCATCTTATTTGAACTCTCCTGCATCATTAACAGATGCAAGTTGGATGTACGGACAAGGTAACTGTGTCCCCAGGGCGGTGGCCCCCTGCATCACTGAAATGAGCCTCAGTCACTCCCTCATCTGGCCCTTCTCTCCCACTCTCTTCTCTCTCGTTCTCTTCCTCCACCCACTCTCTCTTCTGTGCCTCCAGAGGACTCACAGTCATGTTTGAGATCATGAAGAGCTATGGCCATACCTTTGAAAAGCACTGGTGGCAGGACCTGTTCAGAATTGTATTTCGGATTTTCGACAACATGAAACTCCCTGAGCAACAGTCAGAGGTAGGCGATGTCTACAGCATTGCCCTGGATATGATGTGAAGGCAGGTCTGACCTATATCCACCTCTGGGGGTTGCATTGTCATCTACCTGGAGTCCTTAACATACTGAGCTACTAAAGGGTATGTTTTAAAAATGGAAAACCCTTCCTGGCACTCTATCACCAGTGCCAGCTGGCCCTAAGAGACTCTCCCCATCCTCAGAATGAGAGGAAGCAAATCAGCATGGTCTGCTGCTTGACCTTCAGGCATTGTACCTGCCAATTCAGCAGGGCTCCTCACTGGTCATAGTTTGGTTCATACCCACTTCTGAACAGTCAGTAGAAAATGGCACATCTCTGGTCCTTAGGGGTTTTTAATTAAGTTATGGTTAGAGAGGATGTTGAATATTTAGGCCTTTTCTTTAAAGGACATTTGATGCCTCTAGGTATTTTTTGTTATCTGTCTCTTAGATGTAAAAGGGCAGGGAAAGGCTATTCTATCTCAGGATTTTTAGATGGGAGAATAACTTCTTTGGGAATACCATTTCTTCCCTCTCTAGGTATAAAAGTAACAAATGGAATATTAAGCATATATAGAAAAATTCATGTTTTACTACCCAGAAATTAATGTTTTGGCAGATTTTCCTTATTTCTACATGGTTTCAATATGGTTGATATCATAGTATAGATGGAATTTTCTAATTTTTTTTAATTTAAAAATAATTTAATGTTTTCCTTGTTATAAAACAAATACCAAGCCAGGTGTGGTAACTCAGACCTGTTGTAATCCTAGCACTCTGAGAGTCCAACGTAGGAGGATTGCTTGAGCTCAGGAGTCCAAGACTAGCCTGAGCAGCAAGAGTCAGACTCCATCTCTACTAAGAATAGAAAACTTGGGCAGCGCCTTTAGCTCAGTGAGAGGGTAGGGCGCTGGTCACATACACTGAGGCTGGTAGGTTCTCATCCACTCCGGGCCAGCTAAAACAACAATTGACAACTGCAACAACAAAAAAGAAAAATAGCTGAGCATTGTGGCAGGCACCTGTGATCCCAGCTGTTGGGAGGCTGAGGCAAGAGAATTGCTTAACGGCTCGGCGCCT